AATGGGTTTGCTCTTTATATTTATGTACACAGAGTTGGAGTAATGTGGTTATGTAATCCAGAATTAGAACAATAATGTTCCGTTGTAATGGGAGTATGGAAGAGAGTATGTTTTTTTTTCCAGACATTTAGCCGAGAGGGAGGGGGCACTTGAAATAATTGTGAAGGAGGGGGTTATGTTAATATATAGTATTTTCTATTTCGTGCTAGGGGTGTGGGTGGGGGATGAGCTTAAATTTCTAAGGGTGGGGGGGGGGGGGAAGGAATTATGCATTTTCTATATACATATATTGTTTCTATATCATCCACATCCCTCCTTCGAAGAGATGCCCGAAAGTAACATGAAAGATTTCTTTTTATGTTTCAAGTTTCTGACATGCTAATACAGAACCAAAGCTATTTCAAGAAGGCGAGTTCAACGACCTGTGTTGTATGCAGTACAACGCTATGCCACGTCTGCAGTGGTCAAGGTCATCGACTGACTAGGGGGTGGGGCGGGGGAAGCATGAGGTGGGGGAAGGGCATCGATTCTTTCTCCGCCCAGAACAACTATGATACTTAATAGTCTCTGAGTTTTGAATGAAATCTGTAATGTTGTATGTATGTTATTCTAATTGGATGACATTGAATCGGGTCTCTCTGAAATGAATGACAGTCGTGTCTTGTTTTTGTTTGACCTTGGAGCAGGTCATTCGCGTTCCCAACAGAATATTTGAAAATGCGTGACGTCATTGCTAATGCCGCTTAATTAAATCTCTGCAATTTTGTATTTTCTTTTCCAAATGGAGCCATAATTGATTCATTTAAAAATACAAAAACAACTGCACTCTGAGAATCGATTTAAGAGATCATTTTTGACACTTTCCAGGCAAACATTTTGGGCAATGCGCATGTGAGAATGTTCGCAAGTGTAGTCTAGCTCTAGCTCTTGTGTGTAGGCCTACTGTAGTCCTATTGTATTTCCTACAGTCCTATTGTATTTCCTACAGTCCTATTATATTTTCACAGTCCTATTATATTTCCTACTATAGTCCTATTGTATTTCCTACAGTTCTATTGTATTTCCAAGTCCTATTATATTTCCTATAGCCCAGTTGTATCACATCTATAGTCCTTTTATATGTCCCACAGTCCTATTGTATTTCCTACAGTCCTATTATATCTCCTACAGTCCTATTATATTCCCTATAGCCCTGTTGTATCACATCTATAGTCCTTTTATATGTCCCACAGTCCTATTGTATTCCCTACAGTCCTAATATATGTCCTATAGCCCTGTTGTATCACCCTACAGTCATATTATATGTCCTTCAGGGTGCGCGGACCTTTGACCACAGGTGCTTTGACCACAGGTGCTTTGACCATAGGGGCTTTGACCATAGGGGGTTTGACCACAGCGGGCCTTTGACCATAGCGGACCTTTGATCATAGGGGGTTTGACCATAGGGGGTTTGACCACAGGTGTTTTCTCAGCAGAGGGTCTTTGATCACAGGTGGTCTATCAACTGGTGTTTGATCACAAGCGCTGTGTCCGGCTTTGATCATAGGTGTGATACAATTAACACGATTTTATACATGTTTCCTGAGAGTACGTTAATAGAAATTAACATGTATTTTTAAAAAGCCAAGAACTATATTTTAGTCTCCACATAAAGGCTGGTGCTAGGCCTCATAGATTTATTTTAAATATAAATGAAACACAAATAATGTGACATATAACAAGTTTCACAAATAAATAATGTAGATGTACTTGAAAATACATAGCATATATCAAGGATAAAAAATGATACAAAACTTGCCAACAATATAGTCAAAGATGTAATACATAAAATGGTTAACTAAATGACAGATGTGCTATAGCACGCAAATATGTCAGTACATCTGTTTGACCATATGTCTGGACAGCACGTTGTACTTTTTCGTGCAGCATCTTGTATCGCTTCTCAGCTGGGTAGCTTGCCCCTGCGACACCTTGCAAGAAAGTTGTCTTTTGCCGTGTGCAGTCCATCTGTAGACCTTCAAGGAAACTATTGAAGCTTTGCACTTACAAGTGCGATTCTTCGTACACGGTACACCGCCAAAAGCGTGACCCGTCCTGGCGTTCTCTGTGTAGCCAAAACTCGTGGCCACGATACAACAAAGTTCTTTTACCTTTTTTCGACGTGCTATACTCTCCAAGATTCTCCATGGTTTTGACATAGAGTAGTTTAGATGACTTGTATTTATACATGATGATTTAACATATTATTACATCATGTCGAAATTTAAAATATAATTTAGCAACTTTTAAAATTAATCCTTACCATAAATGGACAGCATTGAACAAAACACCTGAGATCAAAGACCCTATGTGGACAAAACACCTATGATCAAAGCCGGACACAGCGCTTGTGATCAAACACCAGTTGATAGACCACCTGTGATCAAAGATTCTCTGCCGAGAAAACACCTGTGGTCAAACCCCCTATGGTCAAACCCCCTATGATCAAACCCCCTATGGTCAAAGCACCGCTATGGTCAAAGCCCCGCTGTGGTCAAACCCCCTATGGTCAAACTCCCTATGGTCAAAGGTCCGCTGTGGTCAAACCCCCTATGGTCAAACCCCCTATGGTCAAAGCACCTGTGGTCAAAGGTCCTAGGACCGTCCTTCAGTCCTATTGTATGATTTCCAACAGTCTTATTGTATGTCCTTTAGTCCCTATTGTATTTCCAACCATTCTATTTTCGTCTCTGTGAGCACTATTTCCACACCAGAGACCCTTGAAGTCATGCTGGGACTTGACACTCTCTCGTACAAAAAAAAAGTCAAGCTTGAATAATCTCATTAGCTGCGTGTCGTGATGAGGTGATTTATTAATGCTTCACTTGATGGCGGATCCGTGGTAATGAGTTCAAGCATGTTTCGTTAACTAGCTGAACCTTTGATCCGGATGTATAACACAGGCCCTATAACAAAATGGTAGTGGTCAACTTTAGCACAGGCCCTATAACGAAATGGTAGTGGTCAACTTTAGCACAGGCTCTATAACGAAATGGTAGTGGTGAACTTTAGGACAGGCACTATAACGAATTGGTAGTGGTCAACTTTAGGACAGGCTCTATAACGAAATGGTAGTTGTCAACTTTAGTACAGGAACCGTAACGAAATGTTCGTTGTGACGTATAATATAGACAATTTATTTATTCAATTCATTCAATAACGGTAACAACGGTAGGCACGGAGGCCATTTTTCACATTGGCCGTTTAAAAAATAAATAAATAACATAATAACAGCACTGCAATAAAAATCAATGGAGTAATAAACACATAGCAGTAACATGATTTGGAATAAAGAAATAATGTTACATAGTCAAAATACAACACGAATTTTTAATACAGGTAGTATAACGAAATGTTCGCTGTGCAGTGTAATATAACGCAAGCCCCACACTAATTTCTAGCTATGAAGTATAACACAGGCACTAAAACAAAATGTTATCCGCGAAGTATAATACGGACTGTGTAATGAAAAGTTAATTGGTGTCAATGTTTTGTTATTGTAATGTGGTCTGTATAAGTTTGGTTACCCTTCTTTTGAACTTGATCGATTCGAATTCTTGTAACAAAGATGGGCAAGATACACAAATCGTTTAGTATAACTTAGTTGCAAAACAAGCATAAACACTGGATTAATAACACTATCTGCGTGACGACAAATAGACCAAATTTACACTATTTCACACAGATACAAAATTTACACTACTCATGCCCATTCGAACATCAAAGTTACACCTTTTTATACAAACATCAATGCACACTATTCAACGCAAACACCGAATTCACACATTCATAAACAAGCACCAAATTTACACTATTCTACACACACGCACACACACACCACCACCACACCACACCACACACAAAACACACACAACACACACACACACACAACATACACACACAAAACACACACACACAAGCACCAAATTCACACAATTCAAGCTGCTAACATTAAGACCCAAAATTTCCCACGGATTAAAAAAAAAATCAATTCTGTAAAAAAAAAATCTCCTCCCTGTTAACTCCCCTTCCAGTGACCCCCGAGGCGCCACCCCCTCACAACATTAGAACCCCCGGGGTCAGATCTGGTCGGGCGCGAACAGCACCACGCACAAGCCTCCCCCTACTCACCGTCCAGTCCCCACCGTTTTTATGACCATTTTACGTCCTTAAAGTCCCTGTCAAATCTCTCTCCTCCACCTCCCCCAGCCCTGCGTTTGATGCTTGGGTTGGTTCTGATATTGGGAGGGGAATACTATGTTCAATTATGGAGCACAATCGAAGCATGTAAAGCTCGTAGCGTATTTCTCTCCGCGAGAGTCTAGTGCAAATTTTTTTTTCGATTGCCTTTTCTGGCATTCTTCGCTGGCATAGTGGTCTGAGTAGTAGAAGTGTTTTTAGTGCTGGATTTTAATATTGTGTGGTGTAAGTTTGGTGAAATTATGAAGTAGTCCAAATATAGTTTGTGGAGTTTTAGATCGTGAGTTTTGTTTGACGAAGACAGTAAGCCGAAACATAGTTTTTATTTTTTATTTCTTAAGAGTTGAGTTTTATATTGCTAATTCGATTTGACGAAGACATTAAAATGAAATTTTGTTTTTATTTCTTAAAAGTTGGATTTTATATTGCTAGTTTGATTTGATGAAGACATTAAACCGAAACATAGCTTTATAAAAAAAAATTCTTATGAATTGAGTTTTGTATAGCTAATTTGATTTCAGGAATACAAATTTTAAATTTTCATCAGCGTTCTGAACTAGCTAAACGACTGTGTGTACGTTTATGTGTCTGTATATGCGTTAATGCATGAGTTTAGTGTGTGCGAGTGTGCGTGAGTGTGTGGGTGAGTGTGGGAGTGTTGAAGTGCATGCGAGGGAAGCGTGCGTATTTTTTTTTCTACTCTAACGCTCAGATTTTCTGTGTAGATTATTTTCTGGTAATCGATAATTGTAGTTGTGCCACATTTTGTTGGCGTGGATTTTTTTAAAAAAATTTCTTTCTGAGACGGAAACAATTTGTTTTGGTTCTCTGCTGTTGAGCGCTATCTTTCATAATTCGGCATCTGTAGTTTCTTTCGTAGATACTTTCAAGTGGTAGGAAGATATACGTTGTGAATATATCTAGATTTAATTAAGATGTATTATTTGACTAATGATATATATATATATATATATATATATATATATATATATATATATATATATATATATATATATATATATATATATATTTACATATTTACATATATTTATACATATATTTATGTACATATATACACATATATATTATATATATCATATATTTTATATATATATATATATATATATATATATATATATATATATATTATGACAATTCGAAAACTGTAGTTATTGATTTTCGTCAAGTTAAAAAAGAGGGGAGGGTGAGTTTTATTGAGTTCGATTACTGATTGATCCTATTGATTTCTTCAACAGCAATTTTCACTCAGTCAATTATATTCTTATTAAAAGGAAAAATTGACAAAAACTCCCAATTGAATTAGATCGAATGAGTTGGCCGATATAGTTTATCTGATGCTGAATTTGCTGAATCACATCCTGCTGTTTTTCCCCCCTTCAATTATTGAAATCAATAGTTCAAGGATATCGATCTAGTGTAATTTATCACCTGTGTAGGACACTTGACTACAGGTTGAATAATACATTAGGGCGAGGCAACTGAGTTATCTTTCTTGAGCTGAACTCTTGTTCGAAATAAGGTAAGCTACAAAATAAGTTTCATTGTAAATGCCTTATCTTTAATCTGTTGTACTATGTGAAAGAGTCCTAAACGATTTTAGTAAATACGCAGTGGTTAATTAATAATTAGCTTAGGAAGGAATTTGTCAAGGTTTGTATATATATATATATATATATATATATATATATATATATATATATATATATATATATATATATATATATATATATATATATGCGTCTAAGCTATAACTTTAATTTGTGGTTTTATTACATTTATGATTTAGAAGTTTTAAGTAATAAAATTCGCACGAATATCTTTAACAGTTGTCATTTTCGTGGTACAATTACATATATTCCACAAACACATATGTCATTTACATACTTCCACGCATATATAGGCCTATATATACTAGGCACATTAATACATTGATACATATTCTTCACAAATACTTATGTAAGCTTATACATTCTACACCCAGAGAAATATACAGTAAGAAAACTTGTTCTTATACAAACAAACTGAGACAATACATATTAATCTACCCACGAACATATATAACAAGATATTGGACATGCGACCATATAAACCCCGGTTGTAAACAATATTGACTTTCTACGTCACAATAGAACTACCAAGTGCTATGCGGTTACCGTTCTTGTTTTATTATTATATTTTTTCTTGCTTATCCTTCTTCGGTATATTTTATTTCCTTACTTATCGTTCCTGTATAATTATATTTTTTTCTTGCATAACGTGCCTGTGTTATTATTTTTGCTTTACTACTACGGCTGTTGTTATTTTAATTACTGTATAAGTTTTGGTGGACGTTCCTTAATTTATTATTATTCTGGGTTACTATTTTTGTATTTTCCTTCCTGGACTTCTGATCCAACAGGCAGGTCTAGATAAAAAAAAATGACGATAAGGAAAATGACCGAAATAGAAAAAAGGCCGAGATGTATAAATTAGGTTTTGCAACGTTAGTATTATACATACATTACCATCATCATCATTACCATCATTATTACTACCAAAACTATAACAACCACAACCACCACAGTCATCATCATCATCATCATCATAATCTTAATCATAATCATAATCATCACCATCATCACCATCATCACCTTCAACATCATCAACATCGCCAACATCACCATCACCATCACTATCACCATCATCATTATCATTATTATCATCATCATCATCATCATCATCATCAACATCACCACCATCACCATCACTATCACCATCATCATTATCATTATTATCATCATCATCATCATCATCACCATCACCATCACCATCACCATAATCATTATCATTATTATCATCATCATCATCATCATCATCATCACCATCTCCCAACCCTTATTAGCGTACGAGGCATCAACAAGTGAGCGCCATCTCCTCATGACTCCAGGTCTAACCTCTGCCTGTTGGGATGTTAGACATCTCTCCTTTAACATTGTCTCCATTGATCTTTTCCGTGTTACTTTTGGCCGCCCTCTCGTTTTCTGCGATGTGCATCTGAGAGCTGTCTTAGCCAATGTGTCTGCTCTCATTATGAGCCCACACCCAAATCATTAAGAACAAATTGTTTTATTTTATAATGTTTCAAATCTTGCTGATATATATATATATATATATATATATATATATATATATATATATATATATATATATATATATATATATATATATATATATATATATATGTGTGTGTGTGTGTGTGTGTATGTGTGTGTGTGTAGGCGTGTGTATACAAATATATATACATACATACACGTACACATGCACATGCACATGCACATGCACATGCACATACGCATACATATATACACATATATGTATATATATATATATATATATATATATATATATATATATATATATATATATATATATATATATATATATATATATATATATATATATATATATATATATACATGTACACATATATGCACGTATATGTTTATTATTTACATAGAACTTGTTTCTTGAAGACAGATAGTATGTCACCATTGTATCACATCACAAAAACAAACATTGTTTATTATCATAGAAGGTGTTGTGGGGGTGTTGAGTATTATGTGGAATGTTTGTAGGCCGGGTGGTATTTATAAATGTTATAACGCGTTATTTAGAGTTGAGAGTATAAAATGACTTTTTATGTGTCCACGATACTTTGTTGCTATACCTATGTTTGGGGTCATCTATAAATGACATAACGCGTTTTTTTTTGAAGATTTTTAACACCCCCCTCCCCTCTGTCACACGTCGTCACAAAAAGCCACCCCCCCTCCCCCGCCCTAAAATAACGTCACACCTCAGCCTATAACCCCTCCAAAATTGCAGTTTATATTGCATTAAATAGCCAGGCGCGATTCAAACACTGGCCCCTTCACACCCCACTCAAGGAAAAACTATATGGGGCACCCGCTGATCTGGAGACCACAGTCCAGTTCATACACGAAGTTGGACTTGTTGTTTAAATCCTCTATCATATACCTGATTAAGAACGAAAAAGAAGAAGAGAAGCAGTTGAATTTTTCTTAAAACAGCGATATTTCCCAAAATCTTATCTGAACTCTGTCAACGTAGAGTATTTTAATCAATTTCTATTACAATTTATTGCAACGGTTTTCTAAAAACGCGAAATAACGGCTAAAATTCGTTCGCTAACATTGCTTTTTTATAATGAAAAAACTGTGACGTCACACAATCTGAACGCACACACCCCCCCCCCCTTCCCCTCATCACGCACCGTCACACCGAGTGTTACGTCATTTATGGACCACCTCTTTACAGATTTTTCGTGTTTATCTGATGTATTTTATCAATATTCTCATTTTAATGGATCAGTACATGATGATGCCTTACTTGTTCGCTCTAGTATTACAGTTTTCATTATCGGCTTGTGAGGACTGATACAGATTTACAATAGTAATATTTCTTTCCTACGTGTAGCCTACTTTCAATCGTTTTAGATGATTTACTTATACATATATCCAATTACCACAAAACGTCATATTACAAATTTTTTAAAAATAAAACAATTTAGCATCATTTAATTTTTTTTTTTTTTGTTGCATAAAAAGTGTTGGTTTTATTTAATACAAAATTCACAGCAACGAAAAGCTAAATAATTATTAGGTAAAGAATAGTGGTGGTCCTCATTAAATGATTGCCAAAGTAATTATTACAAAAGCAATACTTCAATACCACATGTTGATTAGGACATGATGAATGTAAAAAAATGTATTGTATAAATGTGATGCTGATAACATAAGGCAAAAAGTATTAGGCACTGTGACAACTCAACCAATTATCGTATACAAGGTTTTATTTTTAAAATGCATTAGCAACAAAGGCAAGTATATACAAATGTGAGTCATGTTCTTTACATTAGTTTCCATTTATGTGATCTGTTATTACACTTCTGTTCACCTTGCCTTGCTCTTCAAACTCCTTGATATTTTTGTCAAAAATTTTCTCGGTCTTTATCATCAATATTTCCATGGCTAATTTTACAAATTCAGTGGTAGTAAGATTTTCAACTGGCTTCTTCTGAGTCAAAAAGAGACATTTGAGTGAATGCTTTGTGTGTTCTTTGACTGGATCATCATCTGGCTCCCACCCATCTAATTCTTTCAGGCAGAATATGCAGCACACATTGTCAGGACAATCAGAACATGGGCTGAAGTAAAATCCAGCTTGTGCAAGCTTTTCTGGAGTAGTGCCAAGAACTATCATTTGGCCATTCTTTAAACGTCTTAAGCCTCTCCTTCTTAATAAACATAAGCATTGTTCTGTCGTCTAAAAGTAAATTTTCGGCCATTTTATAATTCAAAATCTATTGTTTGTTTATTGTTTGAATATCCTTCCGGAAATTAATCATCATTTAAAAAATAAATCATTTAGTAGAAATAGTACAAAAGTGCTACAATACTGTTGACTGAAAATTAATGTTTATTTAAGCGAAAGTAATGTTAGGAAACCTTAGGGCTCCTAACCTTAAATATAACGTAAAATAAAATATATTTTTTCTATACAAAGAATTGAATTGCGATTTCAAATAAAATTAAACAACATTATTTATATAGTCTACTTTTCTAATTTTTTTAATTTTTCTCAACTAATTTTCAAAATTTTTTCTTTCTTATCGTGCTTATATTATTTAAAATTTTGTTATTTCCCTTGTATATTATGCCTTGGTTATCGTCCCTGTATTTCCGTCTAGATTACCGTTCCTGTATAATCTTGTTTCGACTTGTTCCGTGGACTAGGTGGACCACTGGGACACTGCAGGTGTCTTTAAGACCAGCTTCCTCCATTCCTCTGTCGTATTCGATGTCCATCCCTATGTTGAAACCGACACTTCTCGTATCTTGTATATCCAAATTTTAATTTTTTTTTTGCGTGTATATTTTTTGTCTTGCTGTTTTTTGTTTTTTTTTCTTCGTTTTCCTGACACAGTAGTACCTGACCTTTGATTTTTTACGACCTTCAACTGCTCAGCGTGAATGGTGTGGTCAGGAAGAAGAGCGCCGAACTAGTAACCCGAAGGTCGAGAGTCCTTGGGACCTCCCTCATTTCACCCAGCTCTAATGAGTACCTGGCAAAAGTTGGGGGAAGTAAAATTTGGCAGGGCATAGACCCAACCACATAATTCTCTTGTTAGGAGTGGTCACGGAAACTAGTGAGCTCTACTTCAACTACCATAATGACCGCCAAGTCAGACAGAGCAGCTTTTAAAAATAAATACATAAATAAATAACTCATAATAGGCCTATATTGTCTTGGTTAATGCTAAGTATTTTACTTTGCGTTTCCATCTTGTATTTCGTCTTCATTATCATTCCTCAATTATTTATGTTGTTGTTCCTCTATTTTTTTCTTGATTATCTAATTCTACTACAAAACGTCAAAACAATTTTTTTTTTAAATAAAAAAAAAATTGAGCATCATTTGAAACCAATAATTTAGTCGGATATTGTGCTACATCAAGAATACCATACATTGAAAATTAATGTTTATTTAAGCGAAAGTAATGTTAGGAAACCATAGGGCGCCTAACTTTAAATATAACGTAAAATAAAAAATATTTTTTCTATACAAAGAATCGAATTGCGATTTCAAATAAAATTAAACAACATTATTTATATATCCTACTTTTCAATATTTTATTTTTGCTCAACTAATTCGCAAAATTTCATCTTTCTTATCGTTCTTATATTATTTAAAATTTTGTTATTTCCCTTGTATATTATGCCTTGGTTATCGTCCCTGTATTTCCGTCATGATTACCATTCCTGTATAATCTTGTTTCGACTTGTTCCGTGGACTAGGTGGACCACTGGGACACTGCAGGTGTCTTTAAGACCAGCTTCCTCCATTCCTCTGTCATATTCGATGTCTATCCCTATGATGTAACTGTCACTTCTCTTATCTTGTATATCCCTTTTTTTTGCTTGTATATTTTTTGTCTTGCTGCTTTTTTGTTTGTTTTTTTTTCCCCTCGTTTTCCTGACACTGTAGTACTTGACCCAGAGGCGTAGCGACCCTTCCCGGCGCCCGGGGACAAACTTTTCGATTTGCACCCCCCCCTCAAGATTTTGATTTGCACCCCCCCCCCCTCAAACTTTCGATTTTACACCCCCCCCCCCTCAAGATTTCGATTTGCACCCCCCCCCTCAAACTTTCGATTTGCACCCCCCTCGACCTTTCAATTTATTTTTCCAACCCAATTTATTTTTCGGCGCCCGGGGACATATGTCCCCCCCCCGCCCCCCCCCCCCTCGCTACGCTACTGACTTGACCTTTGGTTTTTTACGACTTTCAACTGCTCAGCGTGAATGGTGTGGTCAGGAAGAAGAGCGCCGAACTAGTAACCCGAAGATCGAGAGTCCGAGGGACCTCCCTCATTTCACCCAGCTCTAATGAGTACCTGGCAAAAGTTGGGGGAAGTAAAATTCGACAGGGCATAGTTCTCTTGTTAGGGGTGGTCACGAAAACTAGTGAGCTCTACTTCTTCTTTTTTTTTTTTTTTTTTTTTTTTTTTTATTAACAGACATTTATTTAGCAGCAACAGCCTTTTTGTTGTGTTTTCTAGAAAACTTCAGATTTTTCAATAACTTGGGATCAACCCCCTTCATGGAGGGATATCTGTAGGACTTAGGCCTGTGAATGCCATTGCGGTGGTGTTTCTTATTCTGGTTGTGATTAGTGTGATTCTTGGACTTTGCCATTGTTACTGCGTAATTAGTATCCTAGAATTCAGGCACTAATCTGTAGTGTTAAAAGTAAAAGGAGTGTAGTAGTGAGCTCTACTTCAACTACCATAATGACCGCCAAGTCAGACAGAGCAGCTTTTAAAAATAAATGCATAAATAAATAACACATAATAGGCCTATATTGTCTTGGTTAATGCTAAGTATTTTTACTTTGCGCTTCCATCTTGTATTTCGTCTTGATTATCGTTCCTGAATTATTTATGTTGTTGTTCCTGTGTTTTTGTCTTGATTATCGTTCCTGTATTTTCGTCTTGGTTATCGTTCTTGTATTTTGTTGTTCTTGTATTTTAGTCTTGATTATCGTTCCTGTATTTTTGTGTTAGTTATCGTTCTTTTATTTTTACTTCATCATCACTCAATGCAACAGCGTGACCGAGTCTTGATTATCGGCCCTGTAGTTTTGCTTTTATTATCATTCCTTCAATTTTGCCATGTGTATCATTCATGTAATTTTCTTTTGATTATCGTTTTTTTTTTAAACTTCATTATCACTCGCTGCAACAGCGTGATCGAGTGATCGATCACACGATCAATCACCCAGCAGTTCAGTTGGTATTGGTTCACTGAGTACATCCTCAGCTTTATAGGGTACCTGACTCGAGTTGGGGAAAGTAAAGACACACTGAACATAATCGTGACCACACAATCCGAGGACTTTTCTCGCTCTATAGATGCCAGCACAGGTCTCTGATTCAACCTTGAACTTAACAATTACCATAATTTAACTTATTACTGGCCTTAACCTTAAAACAAAACATACGCGTGATCATATTAATATCATCCAATGAAAATAAACGACATAAACAAGAGATGTGGCAATAGTTGCATGTACTCGATGTGGCAATAGTTGCATGTACTGGATGTGGCAATAGTTGCATGTACTCGATGTGGCAATAGTTGCATGTACTTGATGTGGCAATAGTTATATTTAATCGATGTATCAATAGTTGCATGTACGAGATGTGGCAATAGTTGCGTGTTCTCGATGTGGCAATAGTTGCATGTACTTCATGTGGCAATAGTTGCATGTACTTGATGTGGCAATAGTTATATTTAATCGATGTATCAATAGTTGCATGTACGAGATGTGGCAATAGTTGCGTGTTCTCGATGTGGCAATAGTTGCATGTACTCGATGTGGCAATAGTTGCATGTACACAATGTGGCAATAGTTGCATGTACTCGATGTGGCCATAGTTGCATGTACTCGATATGGCAATAGCTGCGTGTACTCGATGCCACAAGACATGCATCAAAATATGCCAACTAAGACAATTACCGTGCACGCCGTGTCACGTGACAAAAAGAAGATATCTGTCGTCATTTCGTTGCCATAAGCAACGCATTAACAGAGTCGGAAACAAGACCCAATTTTTCATCATAATGAAAAAAAAAATGAAACATATCCTTAGACAAGTGGAGAACTGATGTCGATAAATATAGAAATTAATTTAAACGCTTTAACAGCCGTTTTTTGCAATTGGGGAAGAAAGTCTAGCGCCCCCCCCCCCCCCGAACGAAATGGAATTCATATAGAAAATATTTTTTTAACAGTTCCGCCTCCCCCCCCCCCCCCGAAAATTTTATTCCGCCCCCCTACCCCCCGAAAATTTCAAGTGCCCCACCCCCTTTCTCCCCCTGATAAAAAAGTCTGGAAGAAACACTGACTGCATATATCAAAATACACATCAAGAAGGTGGAGATTAGTTATTGTTTATAATTGTAATATCATGTAAGGGTTGGTAGGGTACCATATCAATTACGAAAGGATCGTAACATCGGCAAGTTTGAAAAAAAAAATTTAGTCCTAATTTTTTTTAGGAATTGTTCTAAATTGTTGAAGGATATTTAATTTAACTATATGTTGATAACGGTTCCCAGAAAGATGTGCAACGGAAAAAAAGCGCAAACAGAAACTTGTGCAAACAGAAATTTGCGCACACAGAAAAAAAGCGCAAACAGAAAAATGCGCACTCAGAAGAAAGCGCGCAATGTCTTGATTAAACTTATTCTGATATTAGGGAAATGTACACTGTTTAATACGGTTGTCTGGATTAATAGATTCTACAATCTTACACATTGTTTTTATTTTACATTTTGTATGGACAAAAAAAATATTTTAATTCTTTCTAGCGATGCTATAATTTGTAACACAGAATTTTTTGTTGTTGATGGAAAATGACGTGTTGCTATATGACTATAGGTCTTTAAAAAGTAATGAAACCTTAACAATTTTGTAATACAGTTTTGTATCCTAGTTCGTGAAATGGAAGTTTATTTCATATCATGGGTGGAAGTCTGTGGAAGTATTATATAACGACGGATGCAGTGTTTCTTTCAGGCATCCCTCCGGGATGGGGCGTTGCCCAGCCCACTCTCGGCAACATGCCCATTGCCTTATCCCCCCCCCCCCCCCCCCCCACACACACACACACTGGACGGAATAAAAAATTATATTTTTATAAAAATGTAAATATATTTATATAGAAAATGTGTACTTTAATCAAAGACCCATATCCTGCCTCCCTCCCGGAACTTCTAAGTACCCCCTCCGGATGTTTTAAGTGACCCGCCCGGGGACATAAAATGTCTGAAAGAAACCATCGTAAGATAGCTTACGGTTGGGTAAAATATAAAATCTGTAAATCTGTGATATAGGACCCCGATATTATATATATATATATATATATATATATATATATATATATATATATATATATATATATATATATATATATATTTATAATTCGATCTACAATTTATGTTTCAAAATCGCAGGCTCTTAGTTTAACTGTTGTTATTTTGGTTTAGCTCATTTAGCAATATTATACTGGCTTAAAATATTTCGGTATAATATTTAAAATGTATACATCAGCAGAGAACAATGGACAACAGGATGAAGCTCGCCCTCCTGCTGGGGGTGGCAATGCTAGCTGTCGTCTGCCACGTCCGAGCCGGAAGTGAAGAAGACTGTGACGCAGCGAACGACGCCTACTACGCGTGCGAACCCAAGGACAATGACCCCAATTCCTGCGATGAGCTCTACTACCAATCCATGGTCGCCTGCTACTCGCAGGATTGCGCGGAGGTGGAGAAAGAGTACAGCCAGGCAGGGTGCAAGCAGGCAGAGCAGCCGGCACCTTGCCAGGATTTAGAGAAAAGTGTGGAGAAATTGTGTCCAGGTTATTTTGAATACGCCGAAGACAACGAAAAATAATAACTCACAGTGACATTTTTCCCCCTTCTTGTTAATGTTATCGTCCTCTTAATATAATAACACGTTATTTGTTGTGAATGTGTATTTTTATAATCATATCAAACAAAGTTATTATTGTAAAAATTGTGCATGACAGAAAATGAGCTTCGCGGAAAGGTAGATACATATAAAATATAAAAACGATGTATAGGAAACAACCTCTTCTGTTTGAAAAAAATGGGGGGGGGGGGGGGTGAGGAGAAGGCATTTTTTAAGCGTGGTATGTTTACCACTCCAAATAAGTCCCTAACGTAACCTTTGATTATTAATTTATTGTAAACATGTTTTAGCATAAGAACAACCTTTATTTCGCACTGGAATTGCCTACAGTTTAAAACAAAACAAAAACAAGTAGTATCAGAATAACAATAATGTTTCCTTTCCCTCGACATGTATAGCCGTATGCATGTCGTAATTGTAAACTCGGTTATTACGACGACGTAATAAAACTAATTATTTTTTTTTAATTAAGAATAGGTAAAATAAAAACAATAGGCGATATGCAACGAATTTTTAGACTTGAAACATTAATTAGAACGTGATTCGAGACATTAATTTCCTGAACGTCACGGTGCAGTGATTACAAAGATGTAATTATTATTAGCCTAATTAATTACTGTCACATTTGAGGTTATATTAACATAGCGTGAAAATTTGATTTAACAAAACAAGACAGACATTGTATTATTTCGAATGTGTTTTTTTTTAAATATTATGTTTTCGACTCAATGGGTTTATATTAGAGACTAGGTGAATGGGTGGGGGTGGGGAGGGTGGGTGGGGGGGGGGGTAGGAGCTATTGTTCCAACACGATGGTGGGGGTTAAATCGGCTAAAAATTTGACAAAATCTGACAAAACTATGTATACAACAATCCTCTTGCCAGATGAACTAGACTTCATACGTTTCTTGACCTCCGCATATAAAGTTGTGGTGAGCTCTTTGCCCAGCCGCCTTTACTTTCTCTAACATGAGTTACATGCCTATCAGAGCTGGGTGGACTCAGGGACGTGCTACTGACTTGGACCCAGATTCGAACTCGAGACTTCTGAGTTAGCTCTACCGCTTAGGCCACACCGTCCCGTATTCTTTATATAATCATATTAAGAATTTACTTAGCTTATTAGCTCCCACTTTTTAAACTAATTCAGTCTTATCAAATATCTCTCAATTTCAATCACTTTTATATTGTGCGTTATTGTTTATTATCATTGTAAACAAATAAAGTTAAGATATACAAAATATACAGTTATCTGTTTTCTTACTGCTTCGCGTAATTGATATGGATTGTATTGGCTTATTTTTTATCATTGTTTTTTTGTACATGTTGGTCTCTGTAAACAACTGCTCACTATTGTGTTGTTGTACTAATTGAAAGTAATTAATTTGAGTGTAAACATCACGCGTTAAAAAGTAAAAAGTGGTCTAGTGGTTAGGAATTTGAACCCACACCGCTACGATATTGGATTGACTCCCCGATAGGGATATAATATTGTTAATCATTAAATAAAGTCAGTATAATACGTTTTCTGTGAATAGATCTTTAAAAAAGAAAAAAAACCAGTAGTAAATATTTTACCTTGATGAAATATATGATGTAGGCTTACCTGGCATGTATTGGTAGAAGCCCATTTGGCCTATATTGGTGTAGTCTTACCTGGCATGTATCGGTGTAGACCCATTTGGCCTGTATTGACGTAGGCCTACCTGGTCTGACACAGATGATTACAGAGATGTTTACGGAGGAATGCTAGGACCGAAAATAGAGCCACATCGTTTGAAGCAGTTTCTACGTGATGCATTTAGGCACCGCCCCCTCGAAACCAAGTATATATATATATATATATATATATATATATATATATATATATATATATATATATATATATATATATATATATATATGAATATATATGTTACGGTCAAAGCCCGAAGTCGGCCAATGCTGGGATTGGCCGGCCAATCCGCGCATTGGCCAATATCGCCTCCCATAGGTCGGTCAATGTCCGAAACTTTGCTTGATTTCGGCCTTAATTAGAAGATCATCTGACTAGAGACGACCGGCCAAAGTCCGAATTAGAAGATCATGAGCAGATTTTTTTTAAATGCCGTAAGGATCATGAAATTAAGTCTTTATTGATTATTAATTAAATGACCGAAACATTCAAATTTTTTATTGTACTATAGTCTCAATCTAACAATATCATCATTTGTTACAACAAATTGAACTTTTATGGCATTTAGAATTACATAGCAGCTTGTTATTTTTACACTTGCAGCGATTTGTTGTGCACTTTGTTGTGCAATTGCAGCGAGTGTAGCCTTGGTCCCCAGTCAATGATTGTGAAGATGCGATGGTTCGTAGTGAATTTTCCTCAGTGCCAACTGACGACAATAAGAGCAGTTTTTCGTGAAGAATTGAAAACTCACTTCTAGCATACAGTTGTTCCTAATTTGTAGAAACCGCCCTCGACGCTCATGACAACTGCAATCACGCTTCGGGGATCACCGTGACCTCTGTCAACATCTGGAAAACGGATGCGTACATTGTCACCCACTTCACCATCTTTAAACTTTGTAGTTGATTTTTAAGCATCTTAGCACCTTGAGTTTGCAAGCCAGTATGAGCTGCTGATCTGTGTTCCATGACGTCTTGTTTGTTGTGACACAATCTGCAGGTAATGTTCCCTCCGTACCCTTCGTCTGCTTCATTGGGTATTCCACAAATAGCATGGACATCGTTGCCACAGGATCCACAAGAATGAGCTGCACTACAATGTTTTTCACAAACTATACAGAATCTGTTGGCCACATTATTGTCACGCAACTGGTCTGGACGTTCCGCCACGGCAGTAGATGTGTTAGCTGAGGATGTCGTTGCATTTATGGCAACCTCCATTTCTTGTTCAATGTTCTCAAGATCTTCCTCAGAAACTATTTTATCGGGAGCCCATATATGGAAACTAACATGGATTTACATTTTTTTCTTTTGACAGCCATCTGCTATGTCTGTCTCATGGTCTGACGGCCCTTTTGATCCATGTCGCCTTGCATATTGAATGCTATACAAACAAGAGCTAAACAATACGTTACTCTCAATGAAAACGCACCCAGAATAATAATAATACGATCACATCTTAGTCTAGATAGAACATTGGCCAGGACATCCCGGCCAGTGCGCGCATTGGCCGGCCAATGTATGAAATACGATCTTAGTGCTATGTTCTTCGGGCTTTGGCCAAGAGAGCCGGCCAATGCGCGCATTGGCCGGCCAATCCGCGCTTTGGCCGCACTTCGGGCTTTGACCGTAACATATATATATATATATATATATATATATATATATATATATATATATATATGTAACGAGCGAACAGTTACCCTGCTCGCTGCGCCAAATGTGACCTTCCCCGAGTCTATCCTGCCCGACAACGCCAATTGTAACGAGTTGAACCACTCATGCTACACAACATCGACTACAGTAGAAAGACTCGAAGATGCAGGTTCGCTATTGATCCTTTTATTACATGAATCAAGAAATGCTTCAATATAACACAATGAATCAACAGGAATGTTTCACAATAATAGTCTGAATCAACTGACCCCTAACAGTCCTCACTAGGCTTCATGTAACGGAATCCACATGTCTATTGTCCTTCTTAACACAATATAACCAACTTGATATGTCACACAGACTGACTGATCTAAAGCGAGCGATGAAGATGGAAGAGCTATCGAAAGAGAGCGAGCTTCGCCGTCCCCTCCTATTTATCCCTTGTATCCGTACTCGTCTTCGTACTTGTATTCCTCCGTAATCGATACTTGTACTCGATGTCTCCGACCACTAGTTGCGCAGTTCTAATCGTACAGTCCGTGAAATAACATCTGCATCCTATCAATCAAAGTTGACAGGCCGTCTGAATCCCCTCGTACCGTTTCCCAAAATAGCACGCGTTGGCTTTGAGATTGTTATCAGTCCGATCCAATAAGCCACCTGCTATGTTGCGTCAGACTGTAATACTGCGTCTCGGCTTATCGTTCGTTATCAGATTTGTAACTAGTAGCTAGGCCTACCCTAGTTACATCCACCCCTGCTTTTTTTGTGTGTTTTCCACCACAAACAACGCCTGGCAGGTGCACTCCTCCAAAGTCAATCGCACAATCGTAAAAAAAAAAAATTTATTGTTCCACTCACTGTCCACGTCGTCCCATTCGTATACGATTGACAGTTATACCTATTTCACATATCAACTGTGTCTACATCATCTTCCTGAGACACAAAACAGTTCTAGAATTCACATCCACCCTTTTCGTTTGGTGCCTTCACCAGTTTACTTTTATAGCTTTTTGAACCGTCTGTTCTCATACCAGCGCGACCATGAAAGACTTGATGGTTGCTGACAAAAAATTTCGTCTTCCTTCTGTTCCTCAAACTTCTCCGCGGACCACTTATCTGATGGTCTACTGTCTCTCTGCTTCTGGAAGGAACGGGATCCTCTTTGTTGCCGTTATCCTCCACTTGTGTATCGCGGTTGTTCTGTTGATGGTGATATGGTTCCGGGATGGGTATGTGAATTTCCGTTATAGTTTCCGGTTCCCTAATTGTCTTGGATTTCCTTGTGTGTAACTGCTCTTCTTGCCTATTCCAATATTTCTTTAATTGAGCAATATTCGCCCACCGATCCGGTTTGGCGTGATCGATGGGTCTTATCTTAAAGGGGCCACCTGCTACTTTAGGCATCTCCACGACTTGCCATATCTCCTGTCCCCAGAGATCGTGGATTTTGTTTCTGCCTAACGGGTGGCTACGCAGTAATACCCTGTCATTCAGTTTGAGTGGCGGGTCCTTTGTCTGTACCGGCGGTTCCCTTCGCCGTGCTTCATGTTCTAGTCTTTCCTGTACTACCCTGTACATTTCTCTAATTCTTCTCATATGTTCATTCACATATTCCAGTGCGGTGTATGAGCCAGTCATACTCTCCCTTTTTCCTAGGAACAAATCAAGAGGGAGTCGAGCCTCCCGTCCGAACAGCAACATGTGTGGCGCAAAGCCGGTTGTGGCATGGGGTGTGCAGTTGTATAGATATACCAACTCTGGGAGAAAATCAGGCCAACGTTTTTTCTGTTCAGGTTCTAGCGTACGCAGCAAATCATGCATGCTGCGGTTGAACCGTTCACACTGTCCGTTTCCTT